GGTTGTTAACCAATGTCATAAAACGATATGTGTACTGACTGTTTAATGAGAAACTATTTGTTCTGTAAACCTTCATCTAAAGTACAATAAAAATATATTTTTTTAAATTGTTTATAGTTTGTAAAAATGGGATCTGAATTCCATTACATCCCTGAAGAAATGGACCTCATTATTGAGACTGAGGAAATTATACAGAGGAAAAACTCTCAACCCATTAATTAGTTATATAGCAAGTCGGACTGCAAATCAAAGCCTACGTCTGTACTTGACCCATGGGACCTCCAATAAAATAGTAAATCTATACCAGATTAGGAGCCTTAGTGGCATTTGGTTAAGTGTTCAGCTGCTGTTATGGATTGAACTGTGTCCCTCAAAAATATGTGCTATAAATCCTAACCTATATGCTTGTGGTTATAATCCCATTTAGGAATGAGCTGTCTTGGTTAACGAGGCAGGATTAGTGTAGGGTGTGTCTTGAGTCAATCTATTGCAAGATATAAAAGGAACAGATTAAGCAAGCCGAGATGGAGGACGATAGATGCCAAGCCATGTGGAGATCTACAAGGAACCAGAAAACAGAAGCTGAAAAGACAAGGACCTTTCTCCAGAGCCGACATAGAGAGAAAGCCTTCCCCTAGAGCCGGTGCCCTGAATTCTGACTTCTAGCCTCCTAAACTGTGAGAAAATAAATTTGTTTGTTAAAGCCACCCATGTGGTATTTCTGTTATAGCAGCACTAGATAACCAAGACAGCCGCTAACCAAAAGGTCAGTGGTTTGAACTCTACTAGTGGTTCCACGAGATGAAAGACCTGACCATCTGTTCCCATAAAGATTCCAAAAACAACCCGTCACCGCTGAGTTGATTCCGACTCACAGAGACCCTGTAGGACAGAGCAGAACTGCCCCCTAGGGTTTCCAAGGCTGTAATCTTTACGGAAACAGACCGCCACATCTTTCTCAGTGGAGCCACTGATGGATTTGAATCACTTAACCTCTGCACCACCAAAGCTCCTTCCTCCATAAGGATTACAGCCTAGAAAACCCTGTGGGGCAGTTCTACTCTGTCCTATAGGGTTGCTATGAATCAGAATCGACTCAATGCGCATAACAACAACATACCAGATTCAACCCACTGGCGTTGAGTTGATTCCGACTTAAAGCGAACCTATGAGACAGAGTAGAACTACCATATAGGGTTTCCAAGGCTGCAATCTTTATGGAAGCAGACTGCCACATCTTTCTCCTGAGAAGCAGCTGGTGGGTCTGAACTGCTGACCTTTTGGTTAGCAGCCAAGCGTTTAACCGTTTCGCCACCAGGGCTCCTTATACCAGATTAGAGTAACCAAAAGAAGGCACCTAGCCCTTACCCACTTTGGGGCGTATTCCCTCATCCCAACACACTTCCCAGCTCTGCCCCCTCCACCTTAACGTGCTCTATACTCAGTCTTCACTGCCAGGGAACCGAGGCAGGAAGAGGGCGGAACATCGCCGAAGGACAGCCAACGGGCAAGCAGAGGCCATGACCGGGGGCTCCTGCTCTGCCCACAGCCTCTCCCAGGGTGGGATCCACCAGCCTGGGCTGCAGGAAGGGCTGGGGCCCTGTCCTCCCAGCAGAAGGCTCCCCCGCAGCCCCCACTCCCCATGGCCCAGACCCCACGCCATGCCCACGAGTTACCTTGTAGATGACGCCCCCAGTGGCAGAGCACGTCAGCATGTAACGGCCCTCAGAGTCGAAAGCGAAGAGCCGGCCCCTGGGGGCTTGCACCTGCTTGTAGCCGCTGTACCCGGATAGCACGAAGGGGCCCGTGGCATCAGCGGGGAGGCTGGACTCAGACACCTTCAGGCCGCTCTTGTGGATGTCCCACTGGATGAACTGCAGTCAGGAGCACAACCAGGGCGCTCTCAGAGGGGCCCAGGTGGTGAGGGCACGGCACCCCTACCCCCACCCACCCTTCCTCTTCTAAAAGGCCTTCACAGTGCAGAGAGTGGGCACCGAGGGGTGGGCAGTGGGCCACCCCAGGACCACCTCTTCCCAACACTTCAAGCATTTTTTAGAGAAGAGTCGGCAACCTCCCGACAAAGTCCAGCCCTTCTCTTCTCTCTGGCCTGATCCCGGGAGGGAAAAGGTGGCTACTGCCTCTGCGTGGGTTCCCAGTCTCCAGCAGGGGGACATTTCAGAGGACCCTATCAACATCATCGTCATCATTATCGTTACTAGGGTTGGACCCCAACTAGGTCTTCCTGGTTTAGGAACCAAGTAAAAAGGACAAATCCCAGATACATTCCCGGTTTCTCAGCCATGCAATCCATGGAACCCTGAGCGAGAGGTTAGAAACAGCTTCATTTATTGGGGTGCAGGCTACCTGGGGGTGACCACCTTTTAACTGGGAGTCCCACCCACATGCATAGAAGTCACACTTTCATTTCAAGATCCCTTCCAAGAGATCTCAAATGAGGGTTCACGGTAACTTGTCTTCAGCGGATCCACAGGCGGGTGGTAAAATCCAAATGGCCCAAGACACACATGAATGAAAGGCAAATGTCCTCCCTCTGCCTGCCCCACCCCTGCTCCCTTGCCAAGGCAGTCACTGCCACAAGGTCCTTTCGTGTCCTTCCAGAGAGAAGCTACAAGGAGGCTTCTCTCCTGACTCTGCTCAGAAAAGCTGTCCCCAGCCCTCCGCACACTCCACACGGCCATGCTGTGACCACCCAGGTACCTGCCCGCCTGCAGCCTGGCCTAGCCCAGGCCCTGAGCCCCTGACCCATCCACAGTGAGAGGAGTCATTTTTGCCACCACAAGGAGGAAGGACGTGGACCCTGTCCTTCCCCAGTGACTGTCAGTGGGCCCACCTGAGCCTCACAGGGATCGCAGAGGGCTGACTGCTGTCCCCATCCCCATCTGACAGATGACAGGGCTAAGGTGTAGAAGCCCCGGCCACAGAGCTGGTCAATGGCACAGCCAGGGTTAGCCATCTGTCTGTTATCCTGGTCAACAGTACAGCCAAGTTTAGCCAGCCCGTCTGCTATCTGGGTCAACAGCAGGGTTAGCCAGGGTCAGCCAGCCCGTCCGTTACCGGGTCAGCGGCACGGCCAGGGTCAGCCAGGCCGTCCGTTACCGGGTCAGCGGCACGGCCAGGGTCAGCCAGCCCGTCCGTTACCGGGTCAGTGGCACGGCCAGGGTCAGCCAGCTGTTACCGGGCCAGCGGCACGGCCAGGGTCAGCCAGCTGTCCGTTACCGGGTCAGCGGCACGGCCAGGGTCAGCCAGC